GTCACCGCTGCTGGAGGAACTGAGGGAGAAGGCCACGGAAGCTTTAGTCTCCAGGCTGCCGTTTGTTTAGGTGGGAGGGACCCGGGGGTGTGGCCTGAACCTGACCTCTACCTCTGGAACTTCAGCTGAGAGGTAAATTTTCTTCCCGCCTTTAGTATTAGCCGAGGGAGGTGGGGCCAAATTCAAGAAGTACGAGGAGATTGACAATGCCCCGGAGGAGCGAGCCCGCGGCATCACGATCAACGCGGCCCACGTGGAGTATAGCACTGCTGCCCGCCACTATGCCCACACTGACTGCCCGGGGCACGCAGATTATGTTAAGGTGAGAGTCTGTATCGCTGGTGACAGGGCCAGGAGCTGCCTCCTGTCAGGAAAAATGTTCGGCCGGTGGAGAGGAAGTTAAGATATTCAAGGTGCATGGTTTTGAGATTCTGCATTTATGGGCATGGCCTCTCAAACTGGTGGTGGTAAACAGATGAAGAGAAGAATGGGCCTCAGTTCCTAATTGTTATGCTCGACTAGGTGAATGTAGAGTTGAGGTCATTGAATTAACTCAGCTGAGTGTTTCCTCTCCTCTTCCCCAGAATATGATCACAGGCACTGCCCCTCTAGATGGCTGCATCCTGGTGGTGGCAGCCAACGACGGCCCCATGCCCCAGACCCGAGAGCACTTACTGCTGGCCAAACAGGTACTCAGAGCCTCTGTAGGAGTGACAGAGTCAGGAGTTCAGTCACTCTGGACACCGTCTCAGCCTTTTTCCTATCTGCAGATTGGAGTAGAGCACGTTGTGGTGTATGTGAACAAGGCAGATGCTGTCCAAGATGCCGAGATGGTGGAGCTGGTGGAGCTGGAGATCCGGGAACTGCTCACTGAGTTTGGCTACAAAGGGGAGGAGACCCCAGTGATTGTAGGCTCTGCCCTCTGTGCTCTCGAGGTGAATGCAGGGTCGGGCAGGGACTGCTGCTGCAGTCGGGGTGGATAGTCAGAGCTCTGCTCTGAGTTTGGGGAGCTCTTGGTAAATAAGAGAATGGAGACTTCAGGGTCCTATTAACCTGTCCCCATAGCAACGTGACCCTGAACTAGGCCTGAAGTCTGTGCAGAAGTTATTGGATGCTGTGGACACTTACATCCCAGTGCCCACCCGCGACCTGGAGAAACCTTTCCTGCTCCCTGTAGAGTCGGTTTACTCTATTCCTGGTGAGGACTGTATGCATTCCAACTCCCTCTCCCTAGCAGTAGCCTCCCCCCCTTGGTTCCTGATGCCCTGTTTCCTCTCAGGCCGGGGCACAGTGGTGACAGGAACGCTAGAGCGTGGTGTGTTGAAGAAGGGAGACGAGTGTGAATTCCTGGGACACAGCAAGAACATTCGCACTGTGGTAACAGGTATAGGAAGCAAGGCTTGGGCCCCAGGAACTGGCTCCTGGATGCCCTTGCCCTTTCTAGATCCATTGTGCCTTTCCTCTGCCCAGACAGGCCCTTGTCCCTTTTCCCTCCCTCCTAGGCATTGAGATGTTCCACAAGAGCCTGGAGAGGGCAGAGGCAGGGGATAATCTTGGCGCCTTGGTTCGAGGTTTGAAGCGGGAGGACCTGAGGCGTGGCCTGGTCATGGCTAAGCCAGGTTCCATCCAACCGCACCAGAAGGTGGAGGCACAGGTGAGGGCTCCAGGTGACGGACAGGGCTGAGCCCAACTGACCCCTGCAGAGGGGCAGTGCTTTGGCCAAGCCCATCTGTACCCCCACTGCTTTCTCTCTCAGGTTTACATCCTCAGCAAGGAGGAAGGTGGCCGTCACAAACCCTTTGTGTCCCACTTCATGCCTGTCATGTTCTCCCTCACTTGGGACATGGCCTGCCGTGTGCTCTTGCCTCCAGGGAAGGTATTGTGATTATAGGGAGTGTGGAGAATGAGGGGGGGGGGCACAGTTCATCTGAGCTATGCCTCAATCACATTTCCAGGGAAGGGGGGTGTTTTTCCTTGAGTGAAGAGCTGGTGGGTGATGCAGGGGAAACTAGTGACTGAAGGGCATGGACTTAGAAGAGTTAAGTCCTCGTCCATTATGCCTTAGTCTTAAGTAGGTTAAAAACTCAGCTCTGGGGCCTCCCCGTGCCACTGCAGGTTGAGCGCTGCACTGTAAAGCTACCCGCAGCCTCTGCAGCGCAGGTTCGATTCCTGGCCGGCAAGGGAGATTCCCACATGGCACGGCAGATCTCTCCTGTCTTGCCCGCTGCTCCCCTCAGCAGTGTCTTTGGCCCTTCTGCCTTTTCTGCTCCCTGCTCTGTCTTTGGTGAATCCTCTCACCCTCCTGTGTCTCTGACCTGTGCCCCGGTTCTTGTATAAATTTTTTTTAATGTAAAAACTTTAAAAAAAAAACGAAACTCAGCTCTTCCAAGACTTGCCCAGAGATTCCCCAAAGAAGGGTTCCCCTTGCTTGTTTTACGGTGTAAGTGTGTAGAGAAGTCCTTGACTAAGAAACCTGCATGATCCAAAATTTCCTCAACATGAATTTTCAAGAATGCACCCTTGGAACACTGATCGCCGGCCCTCTTCTACCTTGTACATGCTGTTTGCTGCTGCCTGACGGCAGGGATGAGGCTGTCCCCAGAAGGGCTCATTGCCCTGCTGTCTTCCTGTAATGCGTAGCCTCTTTGGTAGCCAGCAGTTAGCAGAATCAAGGCAACCCGAAGGTCATGCCTGATCTCTCTGCCCCTCCAGGAGCTGGCCATGCCTGGGGAGGACCTGAAGCTCAGCCTAATCTTGCGGCAGCCAATGATCTTAGAAAAAGGGCAGCGTTTCACCTTGCGGGACGGCAACCGCACCATCGGCACTGGCCTCGTCACCGACACGCCGGCCATGACAGAGGAGGACAAGAACCTCAAGTGGAGTTGAATGTGGGCTTCCACTCACGTGGTCTCGCATTCAGGCTGGCCAGCGTCGTCCTGCTTCTGGTGCCCCCCTCCGAGGGCACATGCTGCAGCCCAGTAGAGCGCAGCTAGACTGACACATCTCCCCTGTGGAAGGGGCCCGTGATCTGCCAGGGGAGGTAGGTCAATAAACTGTTCTGTGAATAGTAAAGCTAGTCTGTGTCGTGTCCTTTGTGTAAGCCGGACAATGGAGTATAAAAGTGGTGCTGTAGGCCAGATGAGTGTGATAACCTCAAGCCTGTGCTCTGAAAAAGCTCAACTTGACACACAGAAGAGAAGTCATAGGAGAAAGCCAGTCTGAACTTCGCACGGCTCACCTGGTAAAATGCCACAGGATGTTGAACAGCCTCCTGGCAGGTCCTGGGGAGGGATTTGGTTATCACTTGGAGGCAGCGTAGGCTCAGCTCTGGTGCCAAACCCACTTCATTTCCTCGGAGTAGAGAGGTACGTGATAAAATTCTCTGCTTGGTGGGTGGCGACTGCTGGTATCGCCACTACCAGAGTGAGAAGCCGTGATACGATTTCAACATTTACTGAGATTTTTTTCAAAAGGCGGTTCATCAGTGCTGAGTAGTAAAACTTAGAGTGACCGGCCAGGATGCTGACCCTGAACACAGAAAGGTTAACACCTGGCAGGGATTAGTGGGCACCCATTCCACACTTGGATCCTGACAAGTACATTCAGGACAGCTCGGAGAGAGGAGGCCCTTGGACTCAAATTGAGAAACTCTGCAAACAGCAGCAGGCTAGAGGGAAGAACACAAGGATCTCACACACAGTGCTGTCCAACCAAAGAGCAGGCTGCTTCTACCCTTCCTCAGTGTCCGAGCAAGGCCAGAACTCCTGGCTGCATAAGGACTAAGTTTCCTTTTGATCTTGAAAGAGTAAGTTGTAAGCAACCTGCAATCCTCCCAATAAAGCGGTGAAAGCACAACTCAGCGACATCTGCAGTTCCATCTCATACCACAAATCTGGCCCTTCTGCACTTCAGACATCCCAGAAGGTGCTGCTACCATCATTACACCCCCACCAACCCCTACTGACATCCCCTAAAACAAGCTCTTTCCTTGGGACCCCAACCAACCTGTTCATTTTGAGCCCTCAGTTGGCTGGTACAGGCCTTTTTCTACTTACCTAACACCATTATTCCCCTCCACAACCCACGCCTACCAACTTCCGTTTCAGACCCACACACCTGAGAATTCTATCAACTATTTATTCTGTCCTGGTTCAGCAAGCTCTGGCTTGGGTTGGAGCTGAAACACCCTGGCCCACCGGTGAACGCTAGCACCGTCCTCACGATCCTATACAGATCAAATGTCTACTTGACAAGGAAACCAAACCAGGCCAGTTGGAATTCCAAGCTGCCTTGAGAAAAACGCCTCATCTGAAGCCTATTTCTACATCTCATTCTGGCTGTAACCCCTAGTTTTGCTCCTGCTTCCCTTCACCTCGCTCAACCCAGACCTCTTCCCCCACTAGCAGCTTCACCTTCATAGCTCCCATCCAGACCCAAGACATCACAGGTGTTCTTGTGTCCAGTGCCCAGACACCCAAGTGTTTTTTTTTTTTAAAGATTTATTTTATTTATTTATACAAGCACTGGGTACAGTCAGAAGCGCGGGAGGGTAAGAGAATTCACCAGAGCCAGAGCGGGGAGCAGAGCAGGCAGAAGGACCAAAGTACACTGCTGAGGGGAGCAGCGGGCGGCAGGAGAGGTCCGCGCGCCATGTGGGACCCTCCTCCGGTGGCCGGGGAGCAGCCGGGGATCGAACCTGCGCTGCAGAGGCTGCGGGCAGCTTCACAACCCAGCGCTCAACCCCTGCGCCACCGGGGAGGACCCCAAGTGTTTTTCATGTAAAGAAGATACAATTCCAGAGACACCTTAGAAATGAAAACTTCACCCATCAAGACGAGGCCTATTTTAGGCTGGAATGGTCACGGGCGTCCGGCTGACCGCTAAGATGTGGGAGCCCAAGGGCAGCCCCTGCAGACTGCACCGCTCCCCCAGGTCAAAGCCACATGAGACGTGACAGCTATGCCCCACCTCTACTCTCCAAAGAGGAAACTATAGGCAGGTTAAGTTAGTTTAAAATTTTATTTTTTTTAATTTTTTTTAATATTTTTATGTAATAAAAAGTAAAAGTCCTTGTCCAACCATCCTTAGGGGGCATCTGTCTGTCTCACGCAGATCACTCAAGTTAATGGGGAAGAAAGAACAGGGGGGCCCAAGTCTGAGGTTATAAATAATAGAAAATAAAAGATCTTCCGTTTCCAGCGGGGGATAGATGAGAGGATGGGAGGGCAAGATAGGGTGGGGACGGGCAAGGGCAGAGCAGGAACCCCCCGCCCCCGCTGGACCCTGGCCCTGCCCACTTTGAGGCCCTTCCCATTCAAGGTGCTTGGCAGGATCTCCCCAGCTCCCCCGGGGAAAGGGGGGTTGGGGGGGCTGGGACTGGTCCGAGCTGCTGGGGGAAGAGACATAGATCACTCTTCCCTCCACTCATGGAGGTCTCAGGTCGCGGCCAGGACAATCTTCAGTTCCCCGGGGGGTGGAAGGGGAGCTGCTGGGAGGGATGAGATTGAACTGGTTGGAGGGGAAAGAGAAGAGAGCAGGAGCATTAGAACCCAAGCAGCTGTCCCTTCATCCAATGCCGTCCAGTGTGGGGTGTGGGGGGAGTGTTTGGGTAGGAGCGGCCTCCTCAAGGTGTCTCATGGGGCTGTCAGAAGCACAGATCAATCGCTGTTTCCCAGTGAGCCAGTGCCCTTACTCGTGTGCCCAGCTCAGCCCCCCACACCCCAGCCTGGCCCTGTCTGCTGCGCTGACCTTACCTCGGCTAAGTCAGGAGACAGTCGGGGTCACTGAGAGCTGGGGAGGCAGTGGGGAGGGGGGCTGCTGGATCACAACTGAGCGAGGACGGAGGGAAGCAAAGGACAGAGCCAGGAGCAAGCCCCTGGCGGCGGCGACTGTGGCTTCTGCCCACCCTACATACTTCACAGACAGGTGCAGGTCGGCGGGCGCCCTGTGGGACAGCCCTGCCTCCAAGACCCCTCACTCCCCACCCAGAACCCGTGCATCCTGCCCCACCTGCAGCCCATCAGCTCTTCCATGCCAAATTCCCCCAGCTAACGAGAACTCACGAATCCTGTCATCGGCTCCTCCTGGAAATCCAGGCGCCTGGCCAGGCTGCTCACCTTGGGGGTGTCCGATGTAGGGGTAGGGTGAGGGTGTGGAAGCTGAGAGTGCAGGCACCCCACTCTGGGGCACCGCGCCTTGGGGGGGGCCCCCATGGCTCTGGGGTGGGTGCAGCAGCATCACCTGGGGCGGGTGGGGAGCCCCAGGGTGAGGGGGCGGGGCTGCTGTGATTCCAGTTTGGACATGGGCCTGCAGAGAACAAAAAGGAGCTGGGAGCACCACAGAAGTTGAGCTGAGCTCTGAGAACCCTAGTGCTGGGGTGTGGAAGACACCAGAGATCCTGGATGGGAAAGTCCCACAGCTTGGGTTCACAGGGCAACAGAGAAGTGAGTCCCTTGGGCTCTTACCTGGGTAACATGGGCCATGTTGGTGAAACCGTGGGGCAGCTGCTGATGGGCATGGATGGCATACACAGCGGCAGGTTGGGGAAAACTGCTCTGGGGGGACTGGGCAGAAGGTCCCGGTGGCAGAGAAGGCGGCGTGCCTGTCAGGGCCCCTGGGTGGTACAGATTCTGCTGTGGCTGTCCACTGCCCAGGTGTGGGGCCTGCCCCGCCTGGTGCTGTCAGGGGGAGGGGAAGGGTGAGTACCACCCACTCCTCTGGTACCCAGGCCCACCAACCCCAATCCTCCCCCACTGAGCAATGATCCCTAGTTCTATCCCTCTTCCAGCCACCTATATCCTGCCCCCGCTACTTGGATCCCCCAGGCAGGCACCTGGACAGGACTGGGGGCCGCATGCTGGGACTGCGGCTGGCTCCCAGTAGGCGTGGTGGCCGGCTGCGGCTGGTGGGCATGGAGCTGCGTGGCATGGTGTGGATAGGACTGGTGAACAGTGGCTACAGCAACGAAGAGGGAGAGGATCAGTGTCAAGCACAGGAGGAGCTGAGCACAGCCTGGAAGGGGCAGGCACAGCACAACTCACCATAAAGGGCTTGGGGGGTGGGCTGCTCTGCAGAAGGGTACTGAGGGGTGGACGACGACACAATGGCCTGGGGATGGCTCCCCGACGTCAGCATGCGTGGGTTGCTTTGAAGCATGGGGGCAAACACCGGCTGCAAGGAGGAGGAGATGGAGCAGTCAGCACTGAGTAGGACTTGGGAGACGATGCTGCCCAATGACCTATGCTCAGCACCACTCTGGTCTGGTCACAACTACCTTTAATATCTGCATGAACAAGTGACAGCTTCAATGCCACTTTGGATATAGTATCACACCTGGAGGACTTCTCATGCTATCAGAAAAGGTCACAGCATTTTCAGATAGAATGTATACGGGGTGTTTCTCTATGACAGATACATCCCCAATGCGGCAGGGGAAAGGTGGAGTAGCATTTGCAATAATCATACTAAGGAGATGCAATTTTACCTACACTCTTCAGACAAAACTAAGGCTCAAGTGTTCACCGCCTTGCCACAGGCTGTACCAGAGCCAGGATTCAAGCCTGAGCCTGCCACCACCACTCCAACCACTGCCTGCCTCTCATCCAGGCCAAGTCTAGGCGGTGGAGAAGACAACCACCGGCAGGTGCTCGTACGTACCACCCTCCGTCCCGTCCCTCCCGTGCCTCTGTCACCTGTGAGGGGTAGTGGGCCATGGGCTGCATCATGGCGGGCTGGCCTGGGAACTGCTGAGGGTTGTAGGGGATGTAGGAAGAATACGGTGTGGCAGCCACTAGAGGGGGGCCGGCAGCGGCGGCAGCGGCCTGCATCATTGGAGGGGCTGAGGCTGGCTGGTGTTGGTCCGAGCGCTGGGGGGGCAGGGAGCCTAGGGGTGGGGGAAAAATAGCGCAGAGCTCCAGCTCCGTTTTCCAGCAGGCACTCAGCAGTGCCCTCCCCCTCCACTGCACCCCCCCGTCTGCTCACCTTTGGCTCCCCGGTACTTGCCCTGCTGTCCAGGCACTGAGTTGGATACAGGATATGGATACATTTGAGGTGCCTAGAAATAACAGCACAGACAAGGCTGAATGGTTTGCTTACAAATGCCCCAAATAGGCGTGACCTGGTCCCTCAGGTCAGCCCAACCAAACTTCTTAGCCTGGGCACAACTCGGTTTCCCTCTCATACCTGAACAGCTGGTCCCATATGGATCTGAGGTATGTAGGAAATGTACTGGGGGCTATACAGCCCACTCTGGCCTGTCAGCACCGGGATGGAGGGAGTTGAATGAGTCCGGGGTCCTGGAGAAGTTGGGGTACTAGTGGACTTATTCTGTAAAGGACGAGAGAGGACACGTATAAAGTATTTTATGATTCCTGTATCCCACCTCCCACACCCATACCCACAATTCAGTGTCCTGTGTGCCAAACACATTCAATACTGTATCTTGATTAAACCTAAACCAAACACCAAGCCCTACAATAGATTTCTCAAATTACAGGTGAGAAAGCTGAACCAGAGGTGAAGTGGCTCGCTCAAGATTACAAGCTTTTAAGTACAGGGCTTCAGGCCAAATCCCCTTCCGTGGCTCTTTGACCCCACTGCCAAGTCCCCCTCACGAAAACCAAGTCGACATCCTCCCATCCCATTCTCACCACAGACAGCAAGGGCTTTGTGGGATTAAACTCCTTGGCATTGGGGTTCAAAGTTGACTTCTTCACTTGTCTAGGAGAGAAAAATAAAATAAATCCTCATGTTTTGCCATGTCTTTCACCTGTTCCAACATCCCCCCAGCTCCCCATCCTACTCACTCAGCAACGGGACCCTCATCCTTGTCATCTCCCTTAATGAGGCCCACTGGGGGGCTGCCAGTTTGGCTTGGGCAAGATGGTGAGGGCTGCTCTGGCCCCTCAGTGCCTCCTGCTGATGGCAGAGGTGGTTTGTCCTCCTTATCCGATACGGACTCCGTCTTGGAGGAGACTGGGGACCCCATGGGCTCTGAGGTCAAGAGACCATCAACCTCCTTCTCCTTCCCTTTGGCCTCCTCCTTTAAGATCCGGGGAGGAAAAGGATCCAGACTGGTATCAGGAGAGCTACTGGGTTGAAGCTGAAAGGAGAAAAACAAACAGTACTATGTGGTCCAGACCCCAGGCTCTGCTTCCTTCTTTCACCTCATTTGCACTCATCTCCTCTGTTCTAGTTCCGTGCTGCTTCCGTAAAACCCCATAGCCTCCTCCCACCCCCACAGCACCACCTATCCTGCTAACATCCGAGCCCATTCCCATGCTTTTCTTACCTTAAACTGGGCCCCAAACTTTCTCAGTTCTTCCAGTTGAAAGCGTTTCTGTTCATTCTGCAGGCCAGGGACTATGAGAAACAATAAGAAAAAGGAAATACACACTTTTTCTTCTCAAAGGCTGACTACGGTGCCAGTAGCCAAAAGGACCAAGAAACCAAGGGAAAGAAAGGAACTCCTAAAAATCCTGTAAGAAAAATTAAGATCAAAAGGCTAACAGGCATTCTATTTCCAAATTCCAGCAACTTTCTTAGCTGAAATGCTCTCCTAATCAGAGTAATAGACCTCTGCAGAAAAAAAGAAAACTCACCTTTCCCAGCTATCCGGGACAACTCCTGGGACTCCAGAGTTCTCCCAGGTTCCTTGGCCGGAAGTTCTTTTACTGAGCAAGAAGAGAGACACCTGAAGGTCCTTCTGTCCAGAACCATACTTCACTTTGTACACAGCCCTCAACTGTTGGGCTCTTACCATCTGTGGGGGCGAGTGAGATCTTTGGAGAAGCTGGGGAAATGGAGCCTACTCCAGGATCCACAACTGATGATGTCACAGGGATGGAAGCTGAAGAGGTTGGTACCGCTGAGCCGATGGGAGGCTCAGGACAGGAAGCTGAGATTGGGGCAGGGGCAGCAGACTTGGGAGAGCGTGGTGGGTACATCCGGCCCACTGGAAGAAAAGGGAAAGCTGTACGATGGTTACTGCTGGTCAATAAGCAATGAATATAGATGACTTATTAGAAAAATCAAGAGAAAACCGCCCACTTCCTTATGCAGTATTGCACACCTATACACACAGAAAGGCAGGGCAGGTAACAGTAACATAAGCAGGTAAAATGGTTTCATGGGCACCATGAAACCCTTGAGAGGTTAAAGGGAGCACTCATGGTGAATTCCACCTCCCTAAGCTATGCAACGCTGGCACAACTTTGTGTCTGTCAAGAGGAAACTGGAAATATTCTATTTCTCCTGCCAGATAACCTATACTGGGATTTCTACATGAGGAAAATGGAAAAATTCTTCTCTAAAAAGCATAAATTCAACTCCCCAAATCATGTCATATCTTAAAACAGTCTCCTAAATCAGTACTCCAACAAGTGGCATATTTATATCCCTTTACAAATTTCTTATCAATTTCTTCATATAACACTGCTGAAATCTTACCTGCAGGAGGAGGTGGAACAGAAGTTTCTCCAGAAGGCCTACCACTGGGTGAAGACAGAGTCTTAGCACCTCTCACAGGCCGCTGTGCCTTAGGGGACATGCGGGAAGGGCCTATTTTTTAAAAAAGATGGGGGAAAAAAAACAAGAGGCAGTTATAACATTACCACCACCAAAATGACTATCCTTCCAATAGTTTTAAACCTTTCAATTATCCTTCCCACTTCATTACCACCTCAAACAAAAGTTTGCTTCATCACTCACCTCCATTGATGCCACGTGTCTCAGAACCTGGGCCAGGGCTGCTGTTGTCAAGATGGTGAGGGCCACGAGGTGGCAAAGAGCTAAGGCCAGGTCGGCCACCCCGAGAACTACTGCAGCGAACTCCTCCCCGGGGACCTTCCCGAACTCGTTGGGGTAGAGGGATGTATTTTCCCTCCCTGGGGGCGGGGAAAGAGTTCAAAGAAGGTCAAATAACCAGACACGAAATTTACACATTTCAGCAATTAATTGTTCCTTTAAAAATCTACCTCCTGGGGCCTCCCCGGTGGCGCAGCGGTTGAGCGCTGGGCTGCAAAGCTGCCCACAGCCTCTGCGGCACCAGTTTGATCCCCGGCCGCCAGGTGAGGGTCCCACATGGCATGCAGACCTCTCCTGCCACCTGATGCTCCCCTCAGCAGTGTACTTCGGTCCTTCTGCCTGCTCTGGCTCTGGTGAATTCTCTCACCCTCCCGCGCTTCTGACTGTACCCAGCACTTATATAAATAAATAAATCTTAAAAAAAAAAAAATCTATCTCCTGGGGCTTCCCTGGTGGAGCAAGGAGTTAAGATGCAACATCTGAAGCTAGTCACAGCCACTGCAGCACAAGTTCAATCCCTGGCCAGGGAGGTGACCCACATGGCGCAGCAGACCTCTCCTGACTTACCCACTGTTCCCCTCAGCAGTGTATTTCAGTCAATCTGCCTGTTCTGCCCCCCACTCTGTCTCTGGTGACTCCTCTCACCCCCCACACCTCTGGCCTGTACCCCACTTCTTGAATGCATAAATAAATCTTAAAAAAAAAGGAACTACCTCCTGCCCAACACCCCATGCACACACACGCATGGTTCCAGCTTTCCACACTATCCCACTGGAAGATCTGTCCTACCTAAATGTTGCGTGCTTATAGTTAAACCTAACCTATCTTTCATAAAGAGAAAAAGAGTACACACAACATGCAGAAAATAAAAGACCAAGAATATTTTAAAAATCTGAAAAGAACTTTATAAATACCTAAGTTTAGGCCTTGTTACCTTGGGCAAATTACATAACTAGGCTTCAATCTCCTAAACCTAAGTTGTCAACAATTATGTATTAATGGCAATCTCATAGATTTACGAGGCTAAAACAAGAGATATAAAGCTCGTGGCCCAAGCCCTAGACCACACAATGAGCCCAAAATGATTGCGCTGCCCCCATCAGTCACCTGGATGCCAAGCTGGGGCTCTCCCGCCCAGAACCCTGGCGCTGGACCGCGCTGTGCTTCTCCTCCTCAGTGCGCCCGTCATCATTCTCCATGGCAATCCGCAGGCGGTACTGGGGGCTTGATTCAATCTCTCGAGCCAACTGGGCTGCACGCAGCTCCCGTTGACGAAACTCCTCTGAATTGTCTTTCTCTAAGGGCACCCTGAGAGGAGCAGCAGAACCACCGTCATGCCCGAAAATGAGAGGGAAAAGGAGAAACATGTCTATCAGTCCTATCACCATCTCAGAGATGTGGATGTTCAACCCCTTCAACAACTCAGCATATACTTAATGGGCAGGTCAGAAATGGGGTGAGGCCAACCTGGACACAGAAAACATGAACAAAGCTATAGTCCACCTAAAGACCTGCCTTCTGCTGCTCACCCCACACCTCAGGTTGCACCACACCTAGACACTCACGTATAAGACGAAAGACTGCTATCATAGGTGGTCTTTACACCGTAGTTCTCCTCATTGAACTTGAACATTTCATTGGGGTCCCATCCATTGGACTAGGGAGAAGGAGAATGTTTTAAAAACTCAGCAAGGAATGCAACAATGACCTATCATTCTCCACCAGGCTGAAAAATTTAAAAATCCCAACAAACCAAGAGCAGAAAAGTAGGAATATGGCTGATGGAAATACCAACTTATGAAAGCAATTACAGCGCATATTGGTAATAATTGGTAAAAGTGAAACCTTAAGACATCACAAATCCATTTCCAGGTTTATATCCTAAAGAAGTTTTGGCATATGTGCATGGGGATGCATGTTTTAAAAACTCAGTAAGGTGGGCCTCCCTGGTGGCACAAGGGGTTAAGGCGCAGCACTATGAAGCTACCCACAGCCACTGCAGCACAAGTTCAATCCCCAACCAGGGAGGTGACCCCACATGATGCAGCAGACCTCTCCTGCCTTGCCTGCCGCTTGCCTCAGCAGTGTATTTGAGTCAATATGCCTGTTCTGTTCCCCACTCTGTCTCTGGTGAATCCTCTTCACCCTCCGCACCTCTAGCCTGTATCCAGTTCTTTTTTTTTTTTTTTTTAATAGAGGCATGTTTATTTATTTATTTATTTGTTTGTTTGTTTGTTTTTGTTTATACATGCACTGGGTACAGTCAGAAGTGCGGGAGGGTGAGAGAATTCACCAGAGCCAGAGCGGGAAGCAGAGCAGGCAGAAGGACTGAAGTACACTGCTGAGGGGAGCAGCGGGCGGCAGGAGAGGTCTGCGCGCCATGTGGGACCCTCGCTGGTGGCCGGGGAGCAGCTGGGGATTGAACCGGCGCCGCCGAGGCCGCGGGCAGCTTCGCAACCCAGTGCTCAACCGCTGCGCCACCGGGGAGGCCCTGTATCCAGTTCTTGTTTGCATAAATAAATAAATCTTTGGAAAAAACCCAAACTCAATAAGGTGGGCTTCCCTGGTGGCACACCAGCCCCTGTGGAGCTTTAAACCCGGCCACTGCGGCATGAGTTCGATCCCCGGCCAGCCAGGGAACTGACCCACATGGCACAGCAGACCTCTCCTCTCTTGCCCCCGCTCCCCTCAGCAATATATTTCAGTAGATCTGCCTGTTCTGCTCCCCACTCTATCTCTGGTGAATCTTCTCACCTCCCCCACACCTCTGGCCTACACCCCAGTTTTTGTATGCACAAATAAATAGATCTTAAAAAAAAAAAAAAAAAAACTCAATAAAGCACATTTTCAATAGCAAAATAATGGCATGGCAACAAAACAATCACAAAGGGAAAATTTTGTGAGTATATGATTAAGATAGTATACAGTAATTAAAAGCAACAAATTAGATCTATGTACCAATGTGGAAAAGCCAAAAACAGGCAGGAATAGTGTATTTCTGTGTAAGTCACACATAGCGAAATGATGACACACTTGCTCATAAAGCATTTTGAATGCATCTAAGTAGTTGCTTTGAAAAAGGAAAAGGGCCTACAAAATAATCAATGTCATCTATAATATGTTAAACTGACAACAAAAAATACTTCAAACAATTGTTGTCATCACACATGATGAGAACAGGTATTTTTGTTATTTTCTGTGCCTTTCAATTTGAAAATTCACTGCCATCAATTCACTAACCAGTCTGGCTATCTTAACATTATGACTGTGTTGCTTTGATTACTGTAGCTTTAAAATACTTGAAATTATCTAGTTGTTGCCCTCTACAGTTTTGGTTTTTTTTTTTTTTTTTTGAGATTTATTTATTTATGCATACAAGAGCTAGGGTACAGGCCAGAGGTGGGGGTGTGTGGGTGTGTGTGAGAAGATTCACCAGAGACAGAGTAGGGAAGAGAACAGGCAGACTGACTGAAATACACTGCTGAGGGGAGCAACGGGCGAGTTAGAAGAGATCTGCTGCACCATGTGGGTTGCTCCCTGGCCGGGGATCGAACTCATGCTGCAGTGGTTGCCAACAGCTTCATAGGTTGTGTCTTAACCCCTTGCGCCACCAGGGAGGCCCGCAAAGCAAATCTTGGCTCCAAAAACGATGTCACTGTCTACACCCACACTCTGGAAGCAGAGCTGCCCAGTTCTTGAAGTTCTGGGGGAAGAAAACTGTACCATGTCAGACTCCAGGTCGTAGTCATCACTGTTGCTGTCACCGCCCTCCCAGCGCTGGAGCACCTTCTCTTTGTGCTCACCATTCACCTTCGAGTTCATGGCAATGGCTGAATCAGTGAACTTGTCTGCGGGGGAAGAGTTGAAGATCAGGAGTCAGGTGATTATTTCACAGCCTTCTTTCCAGCACCCACCACCCCCAAATGGCTCAGTAGCAAAAAAAAGTTTATTATAGGAGCTTGTATGTGTGACATAGTTGGGGGTTAAGAGATAACAATATGAAGAGCTTCATCTTAATAGCTTAACAGGAGCAAGGAGTTTAAAATACAGCAAAGCAATTACAAAGAACCACCACACAGGTTGGAACTCATCCATTCCACAATATTTTAAGACATTAAGACCTATTCCAGAAAAAAATCCAATCATCTGTCAGAAAAAAAGAGGAGGGGAATCCAAATCATGTAGCTGCTCTCTGCCCTCTATTCACAAAGTGACTCTGACCTAACAGCCTGGCACAATACCTTTAGTAGCATAATTGAAGTCAACATTTCGGAAGTGAACAAGCATGACATCATTTGGCTTAAACACCATGGTGTCCACAATGTCTTCCCGACGAGGGCCACCTGCTGGCTCAGAAGCTTTCCGGTGCACAGCATCTACTGCTAGTTCAAACTACAAACACCCCATTTCAGTATCAAGAAATGTCAAGGCAAAAATATAACTACACTTTTCCCAGCACCACATTCTCATGTGCAGAATTTTCTCAACATGAGCCACAGGAATCAACGAAAGTTCCAAACTTCAAAACTTAGTTTTGAAGCACTTTAACATTAAAGTGCCCTCAAATTTGAGACCCACATCTTTTATTGATTGAAGCACTACTGCCGCATACACCTACAGTAACGAGTGGGAGTCACAATGTTGTACAACATTACTCCGTTCACATCTTTAGTGAGTCTGTTTCATTCTCCTCCTTCCTTGCAAATCCAAAAATCAGCTAATTTGAGTACACTGACCTTTGAGCTTAGAGTCTTGAAGATACCTTCATAGGTGGTGCCATTCTTCACCTTTACATCACAAGTGGAGCCCTAAGAATGGGGGGGGGGGGGAGAAGAAGAGTGATTCCAGCAAACTGATGCATTACATTTCCCCAAACACTGACCGAGGGATTACCCACTTACCACAACAGCTGTAAGGAAATGCAGCATTCTGGAATTGTTATAGACACCTTCAAATACCTGCCAGTAACACAGACAAAGAAACCAAGTGCAGATCAGCATCTCACCTTCCTTCTAAATGCCCCAAACCCACTCACACCCATCTTGTATATGCTGTGTCCCCATCTTCTGCGTCCATCTGATCATTTCTGCTCCTAATTTCCCCCTATATTCTCATATCTACACCTTTCAGGTTTCTGCATAGTAGAGAGGAAAAGAAGGCACTCACCGGTGGGGGTCCCTTTCCTGTGCTTTGTCCCCTATAAAAAGGAAACAAATTAGTTCAATCTGTTCAATCTTGCACACAATTAGTTTCAAAGGACTTGTATCCTAGAATCACATACCAAGTAAAGATGCTGATACAGGCTACAAACCAATTAAAAAACAAGGTTTTCAAATCCTCACCTTATAGAGGAAGGAATAGGCATTAAAAGGCAGTAAACACGTTTCCTCCAAATGCCAACAGAATACACTTCAATCAACAGTTGTCAACTGTTTTAAGAACCAATTCAACACAACATTTTCACGATGGGCCAGGGATGCATGCTTTTACCCGACCCAATTATGCAGTATTCTGTACCCAACAGCACACCCCTGATGTAAAGGCGGCCCCTCACTGAATGCAGGTTTGGCACCCCGTAGTTCAGGGTCATTACCTCCCAAACAGAAAGGGCATAATCATTTTCAGCAGCCTTATGCCCCAAATCCTGGAAAGAGGGCACTCCCTCTGAACCCACCCTTCTCGACCCCATTACTCATTAGGCCTGCTACCCACAAGGAGGGCACAGGGACGTGTCGGTGCCACCAACCGCCCGGTAACCCTGCTTTTCACCGGCTGATGTAACCGGCGGTTGAGGAGGGCGATGAGGGGGCCGTTGGCGGGGCTGGGGGACAGCGCAGCCGCAAAAGCCATCCGCCGGGAGGCCTCGCCCGCTCTGCGCCTGCGCACTAAGACCCACGGGCCTCTTCAAAATCCCCCCCCCCCCCGCGACCAGAACCCACTGCGCCTGCGTCTACCCTCGCTCAGAAGCAGCCGAGCGGGCGTCCGCCGCTCTTCCCCAAACACCGGGCGAGCCCTCCACGCACGCCCCAGGCCCCTGCCCTCAATGTTACCCGAGGCTCGCGAATGCCCGGGTCACAAGACAGAGCATCCGCGCGCACGTACGGGAAGAGCGCGCGCGCACTGGAGGTTCCCGGCCCGCAGTCCTCCCAGGTCCCTCCTTCCGTCCCCCCGCCCGCCCCGCTCCCCTCCTACTGGCCAGACCGCGAAGGGGGAGGCAGCAGCCCGCTCCCAAGTCCCTCCCTCCCCATTGGCCCAACTGTGGGCCGCGCGCCCCCCTCCATTGGCTACGGCCGGGGACCCCTTCCTGCAGCTGACTCCCCATTGGCTGAAGCCGGGGACCGCGAGACCCTTCGTGGTAATGGAGCCGGGGACCCCCATCACCTCTTCACCCCCCCCCCCATTCCTCCTTCCGACGGCGCTGGCGGGATGCACCCCGCCTGTCCGCGAAGCCCGGGCCCCGAGCCCAGACTAGGCGCCCATGAGCCGAGGGCAGCCCCCAAATGCCCCGGTGCCACCCAGGAGCCCTTTCCTTCTGTCAGGACCTGTTAGAACCTGAGGGGTCCCACCCCCAGCTTCGCCGGGTGTTCCCACTCTCCCCGCCGCCCTCAAAGGTGGCCGGGCCAGGGGCCCGCCTCGCGCGGCGTGCGCTTATCCCGGCCCCGGGCCGGAACCGCGGAGCGACGCCTCCCGCAGCCCGGGCTCCGGCCCCCGCCCTTCCTCACCTGGCGCTGCCGATGGCCGCTGCCCCCGGCCTCTCCTGGTGTTGCGGCGGCGGCGGCTGCGGCGCCAAGATGCCCTCGGCTCCCCGGCGGAGCCCGCTCCCGGCCGCGGCTGCAGGCCCCAGGCAGGGGGAAGCGGCCACGGGCGGCCCTGGGGGAGCCGAGGCGGCGGCCAGGGGCCCCGGGAGGCCGCCGTTGGGAGGGCTGGTGCCCCCGGGGGGCCGGCGGGCCACGGCCTGTTGCGCGGGGGGCGGCTGCTGGGGCTGGGAGGTCTGTTGTGGCGGCTGAGGCTTCAACATGATGGCAGCGTCCGGAAGGGGAATTCGGGGGAAGGGTGGGAGCGAGGAGGCAGGGGCTAGGCCCCCGCCGGAGAGCGCGGGAAGCGAGGGGGATTGGGAAGCTGGGGACCCGCCGTTGGCGGGCGGGGGGAAGCCCCGCGGTGTCGGGGGTGGATCGAGAAGACCGCGGCGCGAGGAAGCGCCGCGAGGCGGAAGGGGAGGGGGGTCTCGCGGGCCGGAGGAAAGCGAGAGGGCGCGAGCCGGCCTGGCGCGCGTGCGCGTCGCCGGGAAAGGGGAGGGGGAGGAGCGCGCGGGCGGGAGCGCCCGAAGGGGGAGGGGCAGGGCGGAGGGAGCGGCGGCGCGAGGGGTCCGCGCGCGCCGGGGCGGTTGGCTCCGGGCGGGAGAGGAGAGGAAGGAAAGGTGACCCTCGCGCCCTGGCCTTTAGGGTGGGGAGGGAGAAGCGCGGGCGCTCACGCACGCCAAGGATTTAGGGTCTCTAAAGCTCAAACAGCCTTAGAAGCCGGCGGCCGCTGTCGCTTCACAATGAGCGTGTGAAGCGCTGGGGGAGGAGCCCGAGCAGCAGAGAGGAAGGAAGGGCCGGCCGCCCCGCCCACGCCGCCGGCGCTGCGCTGGGATACCTCCGCGGCGGTGTGAGATGTCACGACGTTGCGTGCAGTTCTTCCGCCGCTCAGGGGCCCAGAGGCGGAGTCTAAATGCAAAAAAAATCCCGGGACGAGACTAACCAAGCGGCTGCCCCTCAGAGGCGGGTGGTAGGTTTTGGGGGTAGTGAGTCTCCACCTTGTCTGCTTCAAATAAAAGACTGATGGGCATTAAAGTTATCCGTTTGAGAATGTTGATCTTTGCGGATAAAGGTATGCCTAGTCCTAAATTATTTTAATTTTCAATGTATTTAAACCGAAATGGGTTTTCACTGCCGTTGAATGAGCCTTTGAACTGTGGTAACAGAGACTGAGGCCCAGAGTTCCTACGGTCTAGTTCAAAACCCTTCATCCAACTCTGCAGATGAAGGCAACTTTCAGTCCTGCAAAATAGTTGGACACTAGGACATCAGGTTAAATGCTTTGGATACAGCCCTACTAAACCACAGGCCCGCAGGAGTTCATGCTAGTGGTAGATTAGGACATTTTAGATGAGCTCCATTAGGTGAATTCAGCACAGGGAGACAGAAGTGGATCTAATCCTGCGCTGGGTAACATGTGAAATGATAAGAGGGTAAGAAGATGGGTTTCTAGGCAGGGAAACAGGATGTGCAATCTAAGAAAACTTCAAAGCAGGGCCGAGGAACTTAATATTCAAGAGGAAGGAGATTAAGCAATGAGATTGGGAAGGTAGGTGACCTGAGACCAGATTTTAAAAGGGACTTGGACATTCTCCTCGAAGCAGTGGGGGGCCTTTTGCAGACCGTCAAGAAATCAGATTTGCATTCTAAAGGATTGCCCTTTGCAATGTGGAGAATGAAGACCCAGTGATGGGTCTGTAGTCTTAGTCCCAACAAATCTCTCAATATCTCAAACTCTGCACTCGAGGTATTGGCATAGGAACTCTTTCCAAGCCCTCCCTGCCAAACGTGTACCACCTAACTAAAAGTCTGTAGCTAAATACCACCCTCTGGGAAGTATTTCTTCACCCCTGCCTGGCACCTAGCTTCAAGTGCACTAGGTTCTCTTCCTGTGTGATTGCCCAGCAACTGCCCCCACTTTGTTTCTAACAGCTGCTTTAATTCTGTCTTCCTGCCAGTATCTGCTCCCTAGGGAGGGGAATCTTGTCTCTTACTCATCACTCTCTCTGCAGTATTTAGCACTGCACAGGAAGCCAATGAAATACTTTGGGAGGTGAATGGATCCAAGGGGTACCTTAAAGACCATGACTCCTGGATGTCATGGTCTGAATTTCCTGGCATTACCTGTACCGCCGGATGCCGTGCCATCTCTCCAGCCTCATGGACATTCCTGTCCCCTGACATCCACGTCCTCCTCTTACGTTCAACTTCTGAGTTTTCACCCCATTAAAATCCATTTCCACAAGGTGACTTGTCCTCAATCAGCTTTGCCTTTGTGCATGCCGTTCCTTACCTGCTTTCTCATGCTCCAAGTCAGCTGTCAGCCCTTCCAAACATCATAGTATGAACTCCCTCCCAGAGCAGTGAGCTGGTGTTTATAGGGTTGTCCTTTCCAGTAGAGTCGTAGGTCATAAAAGGCAGTGACTAGGGCTGTATTTTACTCATTTCCCTATCCTGCATGTCCACCTCAGTGGCTGGTGCACAGTCACTCAGTAAATTGGTAAACAGAATGTTGTCTTATATGCAATTTAGAAATTACATCACTGTGATTTGATATGGAGTGATTTCCAGGGTACATTGCTAAGTGAAGAAAGCAAAGTTCAAATGTTTATATGTAAACTATACCTCTTGTGCAAGAGGAAATAAGAAAACAAATACATCTGCAAATTTCTAAGAAAAACACAAGAATAAACCAAAAATTAATAAAATTGGTTATCAATGAAAGATAAGGGGAGGGTCTTCCTGGTGGCGCAAGTGGTTGAGTGCAGCACTGTGAAGCTGTCTGAAGCCTCTGCAGCACAGGTTCAATCCTGGCCAGGGAGATACCCTCATGGCACGGCAGACCTCTCCTGTCTCACCCACTGCTCCCCTCAGCAGTGTATTTCAGTCAGTCTGCCTGTTCTGTTCCCCACTCTGTCTCTGGTGAATCCTCTCACCCTCTGGCACATCTGGTCTGTACCCCGGTTCTTGTATAAATAAATAAATCTTTAAAAAAAAAAAGAAAGAAAGATAAGGGGAAATGAGGATTCTTTGGTTGCTGGGTAACATTCTTTTTGTTGACAGCAACAACTCAGATTGGGGAAAGGGAGACACTTCTTTGAGTAGTCCCTTTTTCATAAAGTTTTGATCATGTTAATTGTTCTCCTATTCAAAAAGTGAATGATCAAGCAAATTAACAGTTAGTGAATTGAGATAAATACTGAAGTTCTTGGTAATCTTTCAACTTCCCTTTCAAACACATCTTTGAAATTGTTTTCAAAATAAGGAATTTGCACATAAATACATATTTATAATTTATAAGTATTATAATTTTGATAAGTACATTTATAATATACTTATAAATAAGGGGTCTCCCTGGTGGTGCAAGGAGTTAAGTCTCAGCACTTAAAAAAAAATAAATAAGTAAAAATTGATACCTCTAAAGTTAGGGAGTGTAACTCATCTAATTATGTATATCGAACATCCACAAACCCATGATAAAACTGTGAGCACTTTGTGGCTCTCAGAAGTACCCCTAGGCATAGCCTAGTGTTCACTGCATTTTACCAAAGTGTAGCTAAGGAGAAGGAATACCAGAGAGAGGCTCACTGATACTGGGGCCACATTGATACAAATAACGAGGCCGTACACCTCACTTAAGACATGACCTCTTCCAGGGATAGTGTCTGGAAGCATGCAGAATGGCCTGACTCTGACATCCCTTACTTCAGCCTCCAACAGCACTGTCCCAAGCCCTGTAATAAAATCATTTACATTTATACCAAGAAGGTTGGGAGAGCACCAAATCCACAGGTGGCCAGTGCCCAGGCCAATCTCAAGGTGTTGCGAGACCTGAAGTTCTTTTTTTTTTTAAGATTTATTTATTTATGCACACAAGAACTGGGGTACAGGCCAGAGGTGTGGGAGGTGAGAGGATTCACCAGGGACAGAGTGGGAAACAGAACAGGAGACTGACTGAAATATACTGCTGATGGGAGCAGTGGGCAAGACAGGAGAGGTCTGCTCCGCCATGTGAGTCACCTCCCTGGCCTGGGATCAAATTCATTCTGCAGTAGCTGTGGATAGCTTCACAGTGCTGATGCTTAACCCCTTGTGCCACCAGGGAGGCCCTGAGACCTGAAGTTCTTATAAGCTTGTCTGGGACAAAAACCAATGTGAAGGCCTGAGGTTGTTCCACAAGTGCTAATGTGTCCCACACCCAATCAAGTACCCTTTTCTTAACAAGGAGCAGAAATCATTGGGGAAGTGTTGAAAGCACAAGCATAGACTCAGGAAGCTAAATGAAAAACGAAACTTTTATGAGTAATAAAAAAAGTCCAAAGAATGGCCGGTACCACAAGATGAGACATTCACCATGTCAACTACTCCCCAACACACATCCTGTGGGGATAATTTTCCTTCTTAAAGGCCTGAACCCTTCCCAAGAGGCACCATCTGGTAGCAGAAAGAACAGAGTATGTCCCGGGAGGGAATTCTAGCTCGCCTTTGTTTCTTACCTACTAGGGGAAGTGATTGGGCCTCTGGGGCTCCAGTCTCAATGTGCAAAGGGAAGAACTGGATTGGAGGAACTGGATTGGAGGAGAGACGCCAAGCTCTGGCCTGCAGGAGACAGAGTGTGAACCAAGCAGGCATGGGGCAAACTGGAGAGCGTGCCTTGTCCCATGAGGTGTCTGTCTCACCTCCAACAAACTTCTGCCAGGTAGGGATGTGTCCCAGGGCTAGCACAGATCTCAATTTTTTTTAAAAAATAGGCATGAAGTTTGGGTTTTTTTGTTGAAATCTCCCATTTTTTCCTCCCCCCTCTGGAGATAATCTGTGTGTCAAGTACAAGTCCATAAGTCACCAGTGACTATCCACTGGGTTGAATTAATTCCAATATCTGCCATTCTCCTTAACCAGTTAGAGTATAAGCCTATAATCAATGTCTTTCCAGTATCTTCTGCCTGTGTTTCTTTCTACTGTTGACAAAAAATATCTTTGACATCAAAATATGGTAGGAGGACCTGCTTTAGGCTTCATCAAGGAAAGTAGGCATACCCTCACCGTGCTTTGCAGCCATTTTGTGAATATGTTTCTTTTATGACATCTTTTCTTTCCTTTCTAGAAGAAGATCTTGCCATTCTCGTTTTTGTTAACTACCTGGATAGGAAATAGAAATTCCAGAGGCTTTCACACCCAGCTGCCATGTTCTCACTCCTTGGGCCAGAGAGCCAATATGGGCATCTGACAGTTGCCAGAGGTGTCTACTCCAATTATACTCTTGGGAAGTTGGAAATAACCACTGGGCAGAACTGTGGACCAGCTGAGCCCTCTGCAAGCTGGACTTGAGCTAAGAATCTATGTATTACCTGACCAACTTCAGCTGACACTTTGATTAGGGGGGCACCATGGGATTTGGATC